GGGTGAAACTGAGAAGTTCCGCCAAGGCGCGTTTGATTGACCGATGAGTCAAGTGGAGTGGGATGCGGATAGTCAGACAGACGACAGGCGCCAGGCAAGCGCGCATTCCAGTTCATCGTGAATGGCAATTAGAATTGAGCCAAGTCAGTCCCTCGTATAGACCGTCACCACTTGTTGCAATTGAAGGTTGTACATACCAAAGCCGGCCACTGCGCAGTTTTGTAAGCATCAAGCGCTCCCGAATATCGTGAGGAGGCATGGCTGAAAGAGGAAGGAAAACAATTAGAGATGAGGGTCATTTAGATGCGACAGAACAGTTCCTCATACAAGAGTGGCGAGGCGTAGATCACAAATCACGAATTTGGGAGTTCCTGAATTGTGTCTTCAAAGCGCAATGTAAACCTTATATGACGAAAACCCAACATCGGGGGCTATAACCGGATCGGTGAAAACCACTGGCAGTGCACTCAGAGGGGTTGGCTAAAAACCCTGATTCCAAACCAACCAAAAGGCCAACGATCCACAGACCGTTCGGGGTTGTGGTATTCGTAACCGGCTTAATTGGGTATGGAGGTGCATCGGGCAGCTTAGACGTTTGACCTTGTCCAAAGGGCGTATTATCTGATGAACTGGATACCAGCCCCAACGGATTGCAGCCTTTGCTGCCTTGTGTGTCAAGCTTTGGCTAGCCACAGGATCCGCTTGTGAATTTTTTAAGAAAATTCACCTGCTTTTGCCTGGGCAACCTGGCAGTATCGGGCCTACAAACATCGTGAAAATTTTTCTTTTGATTAAGATCGTTGTACTGTGATTGGTCACGTGTCACACTGGCCCAATCGTTCACACACACACACACACACACACACAAACACACACACACATATATATATATATATATATATATATATATATATTGATTACCCAAGGCCCGATTCGGGAACTTGAAACTAAAGGTGAATGGACCACCAGTAATTATATTGAGTTAACTGCTGAACCATAGTATGGATGTTGGGTGAAAAAATAAGAAAACTGTTTTCCACGGTTGAAAGCTTGACTGTGGAACAAAGTAGGTTGCACACCATTCATCGTACAGTTCAATAACCGTCATCTGAGTGCACGATGACCAGTAAAGGACCTTTGAACGTCCGACTGTCATTGCGAGGCTCGCCTTGAGTGGGTGACGTACTGGTGCCACTAGCGCGGAACGCAGTGAGGTCGCATTGTGTGAAGCAACGAAGCAAGGATTCAGCGTTATCATTCTACAGCACATAGGTTGATTTCTACTTTAATAGCGGCTTCGATTGCTCGCCCTAACATCGTGAGATATTTCAAACCACAGGCGGTTCTATCGATAAAAAATCACATCATCAGGTCTCATAATCCCCAACACCAAAATAGGACCCTAGCTCCCTTACAATGTCAGTACATTCAGTGTTCGTGGATCTCCAAACTCAAATCATTCCATTTAAATTTTATAGCTGCTTCAGCACTCCATCCCATTAGGTTCCGCGCCAACCATCTAGAGGTGCGCCTTTCGGTTATAGTTGATCAACCAAAAAGTCCGCAATGGCGGCCGTGCATTTAGACTATAGCTTTGGAACATCTACCTTGTTTTCAGGCTACTGATATTCTAAAGTGATTCCTCCACAGATATCGAAATATCCTCGACTGTAGCCCTCCGTTTTACACAAGGCGATCATTACCAGACAGAGACATTTACCGAATATGAATGAAAATCTAATATTGTTTGCCAAAATTATCTGAATCCAGCCCGTTATCATTTGGTAATCGTGACCACAGGTGGTTGGATGGAGTTGTAAGTGTGTTTTGGTGAAGACAGGTTCTTGTTTTCTGAATAACAGTGTAAGTTCCATTACAATGGAATAATTCTGTCGAAGTAATCGCAAATACTTTCCCGAATCCGTTCCTACACAGATGGGATACTGTCGAACCGAATGGCAGTTGGCGCAACAACATACAAGCATCGGAGGACTGGTTAGTTCTGGACAGGTCGTAAAATAAGATAAGCTTGAACTGAACGTATGGACACATACCTGCGGAAAACCCAAATGGAAATCAGTTTGATACTATTTTGGGAAACCTATACGGCAGATAATCAGTCAATCAACCACCAGAAAATCGTAATCGACTAAGAATGCGTCGTGAAGACAACCGAGGCTCAAATTCAGACAAACACGTACAATGATTTTTAGTGGACGCTAGGTACCAGAATATACCTCAAACAGTGGTGGCACACTAATGAAGATAAGGAAACAGGCAGTATACAAAGCAGCAGACAAGTCCGACTATTCCCCAACAATGTGACATATTGAACACTTAATGTGATTTCCGACTACAAACTTTCTGATTGAGTAATCAGTATTTTTTATGTTCGACTGAAAAATCTTATACAAATAAAGTAACACGTGGATACTGGTATTAATACCAGTTCAAGTTTCACCGACACAAAGATTTATGTTCAACCGTAACACTTCGTCTTTGCATTAGCGCTCCTTTCTTGTAACTTTTCCCAAAACTAATTCACTCGCATTTATTGACAGCCTAACTGTATTTTTTATTTTATGCCATGAAAGTGTACCAATGGTGATGTGATTTCTCAATATAAAAAAGCGGATAAACAAATTTATTACATCTATTCTTATAGCTAGTTTATGCACAAGTAAAACTCTTCAAACCAAGGTAATTGAATATCGATATCTTTTATCGTGGGGTTTTTAGTTACAACTACCTTCAGTATCTTCGCAAATCAACAGTTGTTTTTTAAACATTGGTACCAGGCTGATGGGGTTATACAGCGCACAATTCTGGCGCCAATACCCTAGAAACATTGGAAACATCACTATTCAAAAAGAAATAGCAATGCTTAAATACAATAGGCGCACAAAATACACTTATTCGTTTGAATTCCAACAATTAGTAATACGAGTGTGCCTGTTCAAAATAGTTGGTAGTGCTATTAAGTGTAACAGATCATTGATTAGATTAATCCCAAGTACTCAACCGGAATGCATAACATGATTAACATGAACAATTTATAATTTTCTGTGGCAAAATCAGAATGAGGGAAGACAACCCAAATTTCAGCAACCAACTGACCACAAGATAGTAACAATGTGGAGAACATTTTGTGAACAGAACCGGCACTTTCAGGGCACCCAAAACACCGCGTTGCCCAGTCGAACCGGTGACCGTAAGGAGTGAACTGTCCTCGTATTAGTACACTTGCCCGAAATCGCTGTTTTACAACTAGATTCAAATGAGCAATTTGTCTGTAACACACGGGCTCAACTAGAGCCACGGATGTCTGCTGTTAAGCCCTACATTGTAGTTCAAATGCCTCATCACAAAAGGCGAGGGGAATTCCAAGTGAAACCCGCCTACTGAAATATCCAACCTCTTTGAGTACTGACCATTCTCTACATGCGACGTAGAAACAAAAGAAAAAACGGAACTAACCATTAGGAAGATCCTGTTTGTTGGCAAACACAAGAATAACGGCATCTTGCATTTCACGATCGTTAGCAATCTTATGCAGTTCTTGCCGGGCTTCTTCAATCCGCTCATGATCTGAACTGTCAACCACAAAGATGAGTCCCTGGCTTCCGGTGTAGTAGTGGCGCCAAAGAGGTCGAATTTTTTCTTGGCCACCAACGTCCTAGACGAAAAAAGGCAACATTCGGATAGGGAACATAATATATAACGTACCCAGACGTTAAACCGTACGTTCTTATAAGTCACAGTTTCCACGTTGAATCCAACCGTAGGTATGGTAGTAACACTGTTACCTAGTTTAAGTCTGTATAAAATAGCTGCAAAAGATAGCAATGAGCCCCCAAAAACAATCAAGTGAGCTTACTTGTCTTTCCGGCTGCATCCAAACCGAGCATCAGTACGCGTATCTCCTTCTTTCCAAACAGTCGACCAAAGAGATTACCCATGATGTGGGATTTCGAACAGAGATCAAGTGCGCCAATACCAAGAAAACTCCCTTAGTCAGCACACTTGTCAGGAGATCGTTCGAATTACAGCCGTAAGGACACAAATAAACGC